TTTTTTTTTTTTTTTTTTTTTTTCAACCACACGGGTTCCCCTTTCTGCACAACACAAGGGCGGTTGTGCGCCTCGCCGTTTAATAGTTTCCCTTGGTTTTGCTTTTCCCTTTAACCTACACAACACAGAGAAAAGAGAAAACAATAAAGAGAGAAAGAGAGAGATGATAACAAGAAACAAGATATATAAACCGCTATTGACTCATTGTTACTGCTATTGTTGCTCAGAGCTGTAATGAGAAGGGGGAAAGAAGGAGAAAAAAAAAAGGTAACGACAATCATGTATACACAAGAAGAAGAAAAAAGAAAAAGGAGATATAGGAAAGGTGTATGGATAGTAGTAGAACAACGAAAATGTGATTACTGCTGCTGCTGCTGCTTATGACTCTCATCCTTCCACAACCAAGGAAAGAAAAGAAAGAAAGAAAAAAAGAGTCATATCTCCCTCTAACCAAATACGTTACGTATTCCATACCCCAAACACACACACACAGAATGTGTGAATCCACTTCTTCTCCCTACTTTCACAAAATGATTCTCTCTTCTTGCCGCTTTTTTACTGTTTCGCTGACTCAATTTCGTTGATAGTCCTCAGGAGATGTTTAATACGGTACTCATGCTTTGAGACCTGCGTGCGCAGTCGCTCATTCTCTTCCTTCAACTCATCCCGCTGGGCGCGAATGGCCTCACACTCCTGCCGGTCCTCCCGCATGAGATCCAGCAACTGCCGCAATTTAGACTCCAGCGCCGCGTTATTATTATTACCAGCCGCCGCATTCTTTAGGGATTCTTCCTGCAGTTTTGCCTTCAACTCTGCTATAGCCAACTCGGCGGCGGCGGCACGCTTCTCCAACTCCGCGACTTGTTCAGATGTCATGTGTGGTGTGGGGAAGAGAACTGGCAAGAGACGCAGGCGAACACACCGCAACGTTTTTTTTTTCTTTTTTTTTTATATATATATATATATATTTTCTTCTTTTTTTTTGTTTTCGCTGCTTCTTTTGGATTACGCTTATCCTTTATTACTCTTTTAATGTAGTTATACCCTCACGCGGCTTTCCTCACATGTACAAAAATAAATAAATAAAGAGAAATATGCAGGTAAAGAATGGAAGGAATGAAGAAAGAAAGAAAAAAACAGATACACAGAGAGATGCATATCAGCCACAAACAT